CTGTGCATTACCTACCCCTGCCCATTTTTGATCCCATTCCCCTCTCCACCCCCATAAAATGTCTCTGGTATATAGTTGTTCATGATTATTATTTTTTCCCATGAGTTTTTTATGCTCCTGCTATGAGTGAAACCACCCGGTATTTTTTTTTTCTTTCTGGCTTATTTCACTAACAGGATCCTTCCAGCTCCATCCATGTTGCTTTATCTTTTTTGATCGCTGAGTAATATTCCATTGTGTATATGTACCACATCTTTTTTATCCAGTCATCTACTTTTGAGCATGCAGGTTAATTCCATGTCTTTCCTATTGTAAATAGAGCAGCAATAAACATGGGGAAGACCCCAACCACTTTTAATACTCAGTGTTTGAATCATTTGAGGGATTTATTTCCCAATTCACTTACTCCAGTTCAGGTTCTCCTGTGGCTGGAGTCTAATCCAGCCACTCATGGCACAAGACAGGACCCTCCCGTGCAGGGCGTATGCGTACTCAGACTCTCTCTCTCTCTCTCTCTCTCTCACACACACACACACACACACACACTCAGACTGGGACACTGAGGCACACCAAGTGAACCTCATGAGTATGTGTCTGGGATGTGGGAGGAAACTGGAGCACCCTCAAAAATCCAAGCAGACACGGGAAATGTGCAAACTCCACCTGAGATTTCAGTTGTTGCCCTTATCAATGTTATAATAAAATAATGCTGAACAAAATGGTGTTATCTGAGGAAATGCTGTATCATACCAGTGGCGACTGTTCACAACACCGGCATGTGTACACCCAACACACCAGCCTATAAAAGCCTCCTCCTCTATAAAGTATTCCATTTGAGGGCCCCCGGGGTAAGCCTCAGAGGTATCAGTGCAATGCGTGAGTTCAAGCCCCAGCCACCATTTGATCAGTTGATCATAATTTCACTAGCTCCACTGGCCCATGTCGGGGTTATTTTGGGCCTTTTGCTTTTATATAAACAGTGCTGCCACAGTGGGTGAGCTTGTCCATGCAGAATTTTCTGTGAGTGCTTCCGTATCATAGGATCAATTTCTACCAGTCTAATTGCTGGGTCAAAAGATAGAAACATGATGGAAAACTGTTTGGAGGTTCCTCAAACTGCTAAACATGGAGCTTCCCTACGACCCAGCAATCCCACTCCTAGGTATCTACCCAAAAGACACAAAAACACTGATTCAAAAAGATACCTGCACCCCCATGTTTATTGCTGCTTTATTTACAATTGGAAAAACATGGAAGCAGCCCAAATGCCCAAAAGTAGATGACTGGATAAAAAAGATGTGGTACATATATACAATGGAATATTACTCAGCAACCAAAAAAGAGAAACACATGTCTTTTGCAGCAACTTGGATGGAGCTGGAAAAGATCATGCTTAGTGAGATAAGACAGAGAAAAAAAAATACCGGATGGTTTCACTCATAGCAGGAGTATAATGGACCAGGCGAGAAAATAACAAAAATAATGAACAACCATATACCAGAGACATTTTGTGGGGGTGGAGTGGGGAATGGGATCAAAAACGGGGGGGGGGAATGCACGGGATTATGGTGGTGGCACATGGGTGACTTGGTGAAGGGAAACCCGCGGGGATTACAATTGAGATGGAAAAAAAAATGTACAAAATGATGTAAAAATAAACTTATAAAATAAAAAAAAAGATAGAAACACAGCCCTCCCTGGTGGTTCAGCAGGTTAAAGCACAGCACTAGGAAGCTAAAGCCACTTCAGCATGGGATTGATCCCCGCCCTGGAGGTGACACCCCTGGCACTGCAGACCTCTCCTGACCCGCCCGCTGCTCCCCTCAGCAGGGTACTTCGTCAGTCAGCCTGTTCTGCTCTCCGCTCTGTCTCTGGTGAATTCTCTCACCACCCTGGCACCTCTGGCCTTTACCCCAGTTTTGTATGCATAAATAAATACATCTTAAAAAAAAAAAAGAGATAGAAACACCTGTAATCCTGGTCACCCAACTGGCCCCCAAGATAATGCACCCCACAGCTGAATATTAAGTCCATCCTGCGTGCAGACAGAGGCGGGTTTTGCAAGCAGTCCTGCCCCACCTCCACCCCTCCCAGTCTTCCCCTGCATCCTGAGAGGTGGGCACAGGCACCCGGAGGGGAAACCAAAGGAAAGAGAGGCAGTGATAAGCCCAGGACACAGCTGAGGGGGCAGATTCTGGATTCACACCCACCCAGCGCGCTACTCCAGACCCCCGCTCTCATCCACCACGGCTGCCACCCTCCTCAGCTGTGTTGGCTGAGGGTCCTGGGAAGAACTGCCACGGCTCTGTGGCCCTCCTTTCGTCCTGCCCCAGGCCTGGGCCATGGAGACGGGGAAGTACACGGAGGGGGTGGACGAGGCCGACCCCGCCAAGTGGAAGGCCAACCTGCGCTGCGCCCTGAACAAGAGCCGCGACTTCCAGCTCTTCTACGACGGGACCAAGGACATGCCGCCGCAGCCCTACAAGATCTAC